TCAGAATATGTTGAAGCACCTTTCCTTTGTCCCCACAGCAAATTGTCCTGGGGCTTGCCCATAGATGCTATTCAGTGGGATATCTGCAATCTGCCATTAAGAACTGGTTCTGTGGACATTATTGTAACAGACATGCCATTTGGAAAAAGGTGGGACTTAGTTTTCTAAAATACGAGTTTTACCTTCACTTGTTATACTAGTACCCATGTGTCTTCTAAACCTGTTTCTGAGTTTATGTAAAAATCTTTCATTCCTTTTAGCAGACTGTCAGCAAAGCAATTTTCACTTAAGGATTATAACAAGACTATTCAAGCACAGGTGGGGTCCAGACGGCCCGCCCCAATTGGGACAGGGGTGGGAAAGTGGGGGGAGGCCAGGGCGGTTGGCCAGCCAGCCCCAACCCAATTGGGGTGGGGTGGGGGCGATTGGGGTTTGAACTGACCAGGGGGAGGGGCTACAGGTAGTTGGCCAGCACAGTTTGCATGTTAGCTTTTTATTATATAGGTTATTGGATTCACCCATTTTTTCTTCTTCTGAAAACTGAGGAATGTATTATATTTTAATCCTGACCATCACAGGAAGTTCATCCTCTTTCTAGACCATTGTTAAATTACATAATTCAAAAAGGTTGAGGAAAACTTGGTTCTATTTCTCAATATAAATTATTTTTAATCACTGATTTGGTTCCTACAATTTGACTGCTCATGCTCATTGAGGACAGTTTATATACTTACAGTTCTCAAAGTTCTTTTCTGTAAACTGATTTATCTGATTCAAAATTCTATGCAACTTTAGGTCTGATCGCTCATTTCATTGACATATAATGCTCTAGCTTCTAAATGGCAACTGTTTTTCATACCTCAGGATCTTACTGCAATGAGTTTTTCTGTTAATTCTCACCCAAGGATATTTTTCCATTGATTTTTTAAGAGTGAAAAGGAGGGGGACAGAAACATGGATTAGACCAGTGGTTCTCAACCTATGGGTTGCGACCCACAGGGGGTTGAACGACCCTTTCACAGGGGCCGCCTAAGACCATCGGAAAACATATATAATTACATATTGTTTTTGTGATTAATCACTACACTTTAATTATGTTCAGTTTGTAACAATGAAATTGGGGGTCACCACACCATGAGGAACTGTATTAAAGGGTTGCGGCATTAGGAAGGTTGAGAACCACTGGATTAGAGAGACACATTGATTGGTTCCTCCCACATGCGCCCTGACCAGGGCCAGAGATCAAGCCGCAACCTGTACATGCCTTTGATTGGAATCGAACCCAGTACTCTTCAGTCTGCAGGCTGACACTCTACCCACTGAGCCAAACAAGCTAGGGCTGCAATGAGTTTTTAATAACTTCTCAGTCTTAGATATTTTTTGCATGTTTGACTCACTGGACCTTCTGTTATAGGATGGGCTCCAAGAAAAGAAACTGGAATCTTTACCCAGCTTGCCTATGGGAGATGAGCCGTATCTGTAAACCAGGGACAGGCCGAGCTGCACTACTTACTCAGGACAAGAAATGCTTTACAAAGGTACAGTGCAATAACTCAAAGACTCAGCCTGAAGACCCAGGAATACAGTGGTGCCTTGACTTACGAGTTTAATTCGTTCCGTGACGGAGCTCGTAACTCAAATTACTCGTATGTCAAATCAATTTTCACCATTACAATGAATTGAAATGCCATTAATCCGTTCCGGACACCCAAAAAACACTGCAATTGTTTTGTTAAATGTTTTTAAATAAGAAAAATGTATTTAAAAATAACGAATATTCTATAAAAACACAATACTGAACAATAGAATGTAGTGCAATAAACTTGTTTTATTAAGTTTAATGTACAGCATTTACCTTGGAGATCAAACGACTTAAAGATGCTGATGGAGTTGGAGGAGAGAGGCTGAACTGAATAACTGAATCTTATTTGCTGATTTTTGCCCTTTTCACCACGCTTTCATCACTTTCATCTACAGGAGTTTTCGATAAAAACCTGTCCAATGAGATCTGTTTCATCCTCCTTTTCAGAATATTTCTGAAATGAGTTAGGCAAGTGTCATTAAATAGCTCCATCGCACGCCCAGTTGCAATTTTTTCTGGGTGTTTCTTTTGAATAAAGTCTGAAAGTTTCTCCCACATTCCCAACATTTCCTTTATCTCACTTATTGAGATAACCTCCTCCTCCTCCGTGTCATCTATTTCATGCAAAACCTCCGTGTGCTGCTGTGTCTGTAGCTCTTTTAGCTCCTGCGTTGTCAGTTCCTCGGAGTGCTCCTCGATGAGCTCGTTGATGTCACCTTCATCCATGTCCAGGCCCATGGACTTGCCGAGAGATACAATCTCCTCCACCACTGCCGCTTCGGGTTCGAGTCTTTCAAAATCCATTTCAGACACTACCTCAGGCCACAGCTTCTTCCATGCAGAAGTCAAGGTCCTCTTTGTAACACCCTGCCAGGCCATATCAATAATTCCGAGGCATATCACGATGTTATAGTGGTCCTTCCAGAACTCTCGAAGGGTGAGGTTTGTGCTCTCTGTCACCTCAAAGCAGTGGCGGAACAGGTGCTTGGTGAAGAGCTTCTTGAAATTAGAAATCACCTGCTGGTCCATTGGCTGCAGGATAGGGGCGGTGTTAGGTGGAAGGTAGAGAACCTTTATAAAGTTGAACTCTTCGAGGATGTCATCTTCAAGGTTAGGCGCGTGAGCAGGTGTATTGTCCAGGACAAGAAGAGCTTGCAGGGGTAGGTTATTTTCCTGGAGAAATTTCTTAACGTCAGGACCAAAGACCAAATTCACCCACTCCACAAAGATCTGCCTGGTGACCCACGCCCTCAGGTTTGCCCTCCACATAACCTGCAGTTTTTCTTTTAGAATCTTATGTGACTTAAAGGCTCTGGGGTTTTCCGAATGATAAACGAGCAGCGGCTTAATCTTGCAGTCGCCGCTTGCATTGGCACACAGTGCGAGGGTTAGCCTATCCTTCATGGGTTTGTGGCCTGGCATCCTCTTCTCTTCTGCCGTTATATAAGTTCTCCTTGGCATCTTCTTCCAGAAGAGTCCTGTCTCGTCACAGTTGAAGACTTGCTGCGGGATGTATCCTTCTGCTGCTATAATTTCAGCAAACGTTTTGAGGTAATCCTCACCTGCCTTTATATCCGCGCTCGCTGCCTCACCATGTCTGACAATGGAGTGAATGCCGGTCCTCTTTTTAAAATTTTCGAACCAGCCCCGACTGGCTTTAAATGGCTCGCCTGATGCCTCGTCCACTGAAGTGCCTGGGGTCTGCTGCAGCAAATCAGCATAAATAGCTCGTGCCTTCTCGCAGATTATAGCCTTTGTCACAGTATCTCCTGCGAGCTGCTTCTCCGTTAACCACACCATTAGCAGCTTCTCCATATTTTCATTTATAGATGTCCGCTGTTTAGAAATTATTTTAACGCCCATGGCTGGAGTTGTAGCCTGTATCAACTCCTTCTGCTTCAGTATGGTGCAGATCGTAGAAGTGCTACGGTTGTACTGCCTAGCCAAGTCGATTACACGCACACCGTGGTCATGTTTTTCGATAATTTCTTTCTTTAATTCAATGTACATCATCCGCTTCTTCTCAGCAATGTCCTTCGCACTTACTTTCTTCAGATCCATGGTTGAAAAAACGAAGTTTTGCAAAATAACTGCAAGCACACACTGATGCTTCAACTAAGAGCTAACCGCTTAAAGTGAACGAGTGAGACATGTGATGCTGGGCTGATGTTGTGGCATTCACTGTGACGTTCGCTGCGCCAACTAGCGGTGGGGTATCTGAAGCTGGCTCATAACCCAAATTTTAGCTCGCAACTCAAAGCAAAAAATCAGCCAGGAGATGGCTCATATCTCAAAAAACTCGTTAGTCGGGACACTCGTAAGTCAAGGCACCACTGTATTAGTTTGAGCAGGATTTGTGTTCCCTTTTCCTAATGTTTCTTATTGGCACCTAAAACTCCTGGTTGGTCTAGAACAGGCCCACAAAATCATTTGGTGGTGAGTTAAATGTTTGGCCAAATATAGCAGGCTAATTTTAAAGTTGATAATTTTGTATGGACTGCAAATGATAGAAATACCCAAATGCCCTTGGCAAAAAAAAAAAAAAAGGTTCTCCACCCCTGGTCTAGAAGCAGGCAAGTCATCGAAGCTAATTACTTTTATGCCTTTTGTGTGCACACAGGCATTATCTGGAATGGAACATGTATGGCGGAAAGTGCACACTGTCTGGGTGAACATAGGTGGTCTTCATGCTGCAGTTTACCTTCTGAACCGTACACCTCAAACTTTTGTTCATCCTTCAGGACAAGATAAAGAGGAACTTCTAAGTGCAAAGAATGATTAATAGTATTTGTGCTTCCTGACACTGGAAATGCCAGAATTTTCTTGCTTTAAGAGAAAAATAGTATTTAGTATTAACAAAAGTAGTTTGCTGTTTAAGTTGGTCTAAAGCTCTTCACCCAGGTTAGCAGGTGTGAATGTAACATCATGGAATTGAAAGTCTTATGAGAAGAACATTTCTTCCTTTGCAGCTGCTCTGAAGAGGTAGCTGGGCAATTGGTACTTTTCCTAAAATGCACTTGAGATTTGGGTTTACATTTTATTTTCAGGCTTTGTACCAGTTCCTGTTGTCACTGTAGCCACCCTGGCCAAATGGAAAAGCAGAGAACATAATCATAGCATCTTAGGCAACATAGATACTGCCTATGTACTTTTGCTATTTAGTTGCTCAAGTTCACTTTACATCAACCTTAAAAAAGGAATTATTACATTTTGTGAAAGTGTTTGCCCCATGATGAGATGAAATCTAACAAGACCTATTGAAAAGTTTACCATCTGCCTTAAAAATTAAAATATGCATGTTATTCAGGTTAATACATAGAGGACTAGGATTTAGCAAAGGAATTACAAAGATACATTTTTATTTGTAAATAGTAGCAAATACATTAATTAGTAGTAGATGAAGAATGGGACCAACAAGTCAAATTTAAAGATTTTATTTTTCAGTACACAAAAGTGGTATTGCTTTTGAAAATCAAACATAAACCTGTCAAAATATTTTTGGTTTCTTAAAAGGACTGATTTATCTTTGAATTAAAAACTTCACCTGAGTTCCTTGTTGTTTTCTCTTGGGTCACTATTCATATTTAGATGCTTTTCCAGCTGCAGAAAGAGTAGAAAATGAAATTACCTGGACACTATTAAGTCCTTGTGGAAACAGTGCTTCCCTGGGTCAGAGTACTTGAGACTTTATGTGGAATTCTTTACAGTATTCAGAGTTTATTTTGTAGTTAGATTTCCAAGGTCATATTAGTAATATAATAGTACTAATAATACTTTTGATGTCTTACATTTAGAATAAAAGGACAGTACTTGAAAGAACAGAGTTCAAATTAGTAGAACAGCCAACATTCCTAGTCTGGTTTTCTCTGATATACTACCTCACACTTGAGAATGAGTGCCATCATCATAATGTAGTTGCATTATGGGATCAACATAAAACTGTTCACCTCTGATAAAAGAAACCATTTAAACCTCTCTGGGTCAGTATAGCCCACAGAACTGGAAAGTATAAGGATCACATCCATGTACACCACTGTTTACCAAATGCTTGGTACAGTCACTTTCAGAGTGGACATTTAATATTTGATGAACAAATGAATATTTTTGCACATTGGCTTAGTTTTTATATCAAATTTGAGCCTGTTCCTTCATAGCTGTAGTCTTAAGTACCACCATAAAAACATGACCAAATTGATTCAAGATTATGCAAATATGTAGAGCATTGTCTGCAATAGTTTGAAGTGTTTCCACCCTAGTATTATGTTTTATAATCTGATGGCAGGAATAGGAAGTGGGCTATCAGGATTCAGAAGATCTGGGATTGAGTTATATATGACACTGTCACCTAACTCATTCTGTGACTTTGGTTTTTAACGTTGAAGTGGGCCTCCTAACACCATGGAAATGTGAAAAGATGGGATGGTAATCTTAATCTGAACACAAAATGAGCGAGTTATAATCTAGATTCTAGACATTTGTTACTGGGAGAGTCAGTATATTTTAGAGGGAAAAATAGCAACATAAACACTGAGACAGATTTTTTTTTTAATTAAATGAAAGGAAGATAGTTATCTCCCAGAGACTGACAGTGGTGAAAAAAGGAAACATTTGTTAAACACTTCTTTTAAAATGGTAACTTTCCAGAAACTGCCAAAACTAGATTCTGGTATATTCAGTGTCAGATATAGCTCAGGTCTTCACTGCAAGAACCAAACAATAAGTTGAAGAATGAAAAAAGGAGATATTTTAAAAAGCCTGTAGAGTTCCTAAAGTAAAATATAACAATAAATAGGCATAGAAAAAGTAATACATTCTTAATTATTAGCATAGCCTTTTCTAAAAATTTCAGGTGAGATGTGGAAATTTCATTGGAGATATAGTAAAAGTTTGAAAATTCCATGAGGAAAAAAAAAATCACATTTAATTATTGTACCTTGGTACATTAAAAAAAAAAAAAAAAGAATCAGCCCAGCCAGTGTGACTCAGTGGTTGAGTATCTTCGACCCATGAACGAGGTCGAAGTTCAATTCCCAAGTCAGGGCACATGCCTGGGTTGTGGGCTAGGTCCCCAGTAGGGGGCATGCAGGAGGCAGCTGATAGATGATTTTCTCTCATTGATGTTTCTATCTCTCCCTGAAGTCAATTAAAACATTTAAAAAAAAAGAAACAGGTCACCTATACCAAATTTTAAAAGTGCACAATGTGAAAAAAAAAGTATCACTGTTTAAAGAGACCTACACTGTCACCCTTATATTTTGCACCAAAGCTAACATATTTGCTAATCAGTTGTGAAGTTGTAGCTATTTGATTATATATATTCATGATAAAAGCAACTTTCACTGGAAAGGAAAATGGTATTTTAGCTTTTCTCAAGATCAAAGTCTAAATTTCCAACTGCCCGTTATAGTTATCCTTATGTGTTCCATCTAAAACTCAACATGAACATACCTTTCTCCACTAAAATCTGCTTTGGGTCCTAGCATACTTGTTCTCCCAGTCATCCAGCCTTAACACTGGGAGTCATTTTTTTTTTTTTTTTAAACTCCATCTAGTTATTCAATAGGCATTTGAGGGTTAACTAGTACATTGTGCTAGAGCAGTTGTTTTTCAAACTTTTTGGCCTCAGGACCGCTTTTTAAAAACTGAGGGGCCCAAATAGCTTTGATTACCATTATTTTTCCATATTATAAATTAAAAAAAAATTAAGACAGTAACAAATATATTATTAGCATTTTCATGGAAGTAACTATTTTCAGAGTGGATTTATTTTACATTTTTTGCAAATCAGTTCTCTCAAATGTCTGCCTTAATTTTTTTCTTTCCACATTCAATTGGTTGAGATATGTTACTTATTTGCATTTTTTTGGTAATTTCATGTATTGGTCATTTGGAAAATATTAGTTCACTTAATATAAATCTCCTAAATGTTGACCCAGTTCATTATATAATATCTAAAAAATCATATTACTATCACTGTATCTCACAAAAAAACAACTATGTACTAGAAAGATGTCAAGCTCCCTGGTAGTGGATACAAATTTTCCCAAAATTCTAAATTTCACTTTAAATTTGAATTTTATCATTGAAAACAGCAGTCAATTGTTTTCCTTTCAAGTCTCACTTCCTTTATATTCCAAAATGTCTGCAAAATAGCCAACTCTGACAACCAAAATGATAGTTATTCTTTCCAAACCGCAGAAGTGCTTTTTCTTGAAACCACTGTCCTTTAGTATGTAGCAGAAGTACTGTATGCAATTTTCCCATTTCATCACTCACATTAATGTTATGTACTCAGGGTCCAGATATAATAAAATTTACTGTTTTCATAATGACATGAAGTGAAACTGCTACATTCTTACCCCTGGGTGTATTCTGCAAATGCATGGCAGGGAAGAACAACTACAGTCTGGTTGTGACTGCCTTGATTTATGCCAAGATGCTGACAGTTTCACCCACCTTTGCCTTTTCACCATATGAAAATATCCTGATAAACCATGAGACTTTATTCAACATTTTAACTATTTCAGGACATATTTTGTTTGTTGCCAAGCTTTCACTTAAAAGTCTCTGACTAGCCAAATAGAGGGTGGGGCAAAAATAGGTTTACAGTTGTGAGTACACAAAGTTTATTCTTGTATTATTTATTCTTGTATTATTTTCCATATGAACTACCAACCTACTTTTGCCCCACCCTGTACAAGCAAAATAACAAGCCCAGCCATGTTTGTAGATTCATCCATTTGTAAGGCTTAAGTACACTTCTACAAAGATAACACAGATTTCATGTCTGCACACAAATCTTTCCTATACAAGTTACTCTATTGTTAAAAAGTAGAGCTACCATTTTTTACTTATCATTATCATCCACTAGTGTCAAATGTATATGGCTTTTTGTTTCTCAGCTATTGTGTTTCTCCAGCCAATGTCCTACAGTAACTTATTTCAGTAGCTTTTCCTTATAGTTTCTTTGAACTTGATTCTTCCTGTAAGAGCTCTGCAATATCTTAAATTCACCTTTTTTAGCATTTTTAGACATAAGGTATGGGTTGAACAAGCAATCTTCTAATCTTTTTTTTAAGTCAATGACCCATTCTTAAATAAGAACAATATAAATTGGTTTATTTTGTGTTGCTAAATTCTAAAATAAATTGTAGTTAAATTTAAAATTTTAGAAGTTTTGAGCAAATATTTACAGCACTATTGCATAACAAGACAACGGGATGTACTTATGTTTATACTTAGGCACAAAGAAAATGACAGGATTTTATATTAATAATTATGTAATACTGAGGGTTGCTGGGATTATAGAAAGTATAACCTAAAAAGTAAGTTAATTCCTAAAAACAAATATTCATACCCTAACCCTACCACATTAGGAAATTCTAGAAAATTTAAGAATATCCTCTGTTCAATTAACATCAGTAATGATCTCTTACATCACACATCATGTAGCGAGAAGTAAATAACAGCTCAGTATTATGAATATTGTTTGACCTAGAAGACCTCCCCATACTTAGGCAACTAGGAAAATAGCCATAAAAAAGTAAAACAAAAACCCACCACTCTCTCAACTACTAATTACACTTGTAAGAGCTGCTATGACATTCAAGTTGGGGATCCAAAGTAGCATAACTGAAGACATCAAGGTTCCCTGAAGAAGTGATGTATTGAGACTGTCCTCCCTCTCAGTGACTGACATTTGGTCAGTTACTGAGTCAACTTATCTCCCATTTTGATTGCCATCACTATACCAGACCTCATCATTTGGTGTCTGTACTACTGTGAAAGAAACTCCTAAGTAGTATCTCTGCCTTCAAATTTCTCCCTTCTTATAATCCATCCTGTATCCAGCAACAGATTAAATTTCTTAAGACTGCTATCAGAGAAAGAATACTGACTTATGCAATTCAAACCAGAATTCCTGGTCCTTAATTTGTTGGTGTGTCTAAAGCAAAGTTGTTTAACCTTTAGTTTCCTACTCTAACTCCGGTTTATATATCAGCACCACACCATAACGACAAAGAGGCCACAATTGGTACTCAATAAATATTAACTTCTTCACCTAAACTATGTTTTCATTAGCTTTTGCGTATAGTGTGCATTAGAATATGCTGCCATTATTTATTATAATAAAAAGTGCGGGATGAGATTTTTAAGCCAAGGTCAGTAAAAAGAGGAAAGGCTGTAAGGAATGTTGACTTGAGTTGACAAGAATTCATATATTATTAGGGTGGTTTAGTTAGCTGGTAAAATAACCAATTCTATAAAACATGATCTGAAAATGTATTACTGTTGTTAGTAGGAAGATTCGATCTTAAACATGTTAGAAAACAATTAGCAAACAAAGGTGACTAAGTACCAGGACAAACTAAAGGTCAGTGATGTTTGTAAATTCTAGGGAAAAAGCTGTAAAGTTGGATTATTTTAGGTAACCATGACTTTGAGATATAATCTAAGAGGCAGAAATAGTCTATCTAGTCACTATGAAGGTAAACATCAAACCAGGAATAATTCATCAGATTTAACCCTGGCCTAAATAAAATAAACGTAAATATTTGATTCAATGCTAACACAGTTCTGTAAGAATTCAGTTTCTCACC